GGCGAACTATGTGAAGCAACGGAGTTTCAGAATAACGAGGATACGAATTGATCGGAAGCCCTGCATCGCCTACAAAAGGCGCTACGCCCCTCGTGTCCCAGTTGATTCCACAGATGATCTAATCATTGGAACTTATAGAACTCCTCGTCGGCTTTCCAACGCACTTTGAATCACTCAAATCCGAGTTCGGACGAAGAAGTTACGGCGGAAACGAACAAGTATACATAACGGAGCGTCTCAGGCTGAACTGGGACACCCAAGGTGTCTCGGCATGAGCGAGACACCCTAAGGTGTCTCGGCCAAGGCCGAGACACCCTTGGGTGTCTCCAACCCCAGATCTGTCCGTTACGCGATTTTAACCGTCTGGAACCCCCTCAAGCCTATAAATACAAGCCTCAGACCCTCATTTTTCCGGATCTGGAATTCTCGTGCCTCGGCGAAGCCCTGCCGGATTGAAGACTTAAAGTACACAGCTTTCAGAGAGGAGAAGGGGTTAGATCTGCAGCCCGGTTCATTCCTTAGAATTATCCCGTTGCGGTAATCTTAAGAAGAGTGATTATCTCGCTTCGCCGAGATAAGAGCTACGGTTTCTCAATCCCTTCGCGGATAGACGAAACTCTGTCCAAATATTGATCGTTCGGTGGTCCACGGACTAACGCGTCTCCGTCACAGGCCAAGATCTCACGCAAGCAGCCGGCGATAAACACTCGTTGCGTTTGTTTAAAGAGAATTGTAATTTTTTTGTTTTCATTGTGTAAAAGTCTTATAAAAAGACTGATTTTTTTTGTTTTCATTGTAAACGTCTGAAGTTTGTAATGAATCCCGCAATGAATCAATCAATTTTCACCGCAAACACAGATATCACCATAGCCAATGAATCCGTATATTTAATAAAACGGTTTTTGACCTTGACCTCACACTCCTCACATAGTTAATCATTTTGCTAAGGGATTCCAATTAGAGTTTTAGGTTACCACTTTACTTTATTCTTAGAACAATTTGAAGAAACCGCGAAGAATTTTGGAGAAGAACATGCTTTTGGGACACAGGGAACTGTTTTGGAGCTGCGCGGTCGACCGCGGTGCAAGGCCAGTCGACCGCGAACGTGCACAGGATCAGGCATGAGCCTGGACTTGGTGCGGTTGACTGCAAGACCCTGTAGTCAATTTTTGGGCTCTATCGTTTGTCGCGATCGACCGTCAGACCCTGTAATGCATTTACAGGCTCTGTCGTTGGGCGCGGTCAACCATGACAGTCGACCGCGTATCGGGTCAGGCCCAACTTTTGGTTTTATGTTCTTAATTGGTTTTGGTATTTGTATAAATACCAATACACGTTCTAGGATTTCTTAAGGCTTGAGTTTGGGATATTTGGAGCACAGAAAAGAGGTATTTTCTGAGCTATTTGTTTAGGGTTTATTTGGAGAGATTAAGAGCTTTGTGGTGAAATTAGTTTGTTCCTTCGAGTGATTTGTAATCTCAATATGTACTCTTATTCTCTATTAGTAAAAAAACCTCATCCCCTTCTTGCCCCGTGGATGTAGGTAATTGCTGAACCACGTTAAAATTGGTGTTTTGTGTTTGTGCATTGATTGGTTGGTTTTGCCTTCTCGAACAGCATTTGGTTTGGTTCCTCGACGCGGATCCCAATAATTGGTATCAGAGCACAACAATTGGTATCAGAACTCGGGCTACGCTTGGACTATTTGGAGGAGTAGATTGATTTGGAAGCTCTTCTAGGGTTTCAGTTGGTGATAAATGTGGTTTCTTTTTTGTAAAGACTCTATCCTTTTCAAGTTTGGATCTATTTCTTGTTCGTTTCCGCAATTGTTTGTTGGTGTGTTGAGGATTATGGCCGGGAAAGAAGGTGTTGAGGGTGGTTCTTCAGGCGTGAAGACTGTCTAGAGTTTGAATATCCACTCGATTAAGATTGACGTAGAGAAGTTCAATGGCACTAATAATTTTGGACTTGACGTTGCGAAGTCTTGGATGTGCTCAATACGCAGAATTTGGAAGATACCTTGGAGTTAGACGGAAAACCGGACGACATTGATGAGAATGTTTGGAAAAAGATGAATCGTACAGCATATGGTGTGATTAGGTCTTGTCTCACTCAAGATCTAAAATATGATGTGATGAATGAGACTTCAGCGAAGAAGATTTGGGAGGTCCTAGAGAGCAAGTATTTGACGAAGTGCGTCGAAAATAGATTGCATTTGAAGAGGAGGCTTTATCGCTACGAGCCCATTCGACCAACTATTCGACACCATTGCAGGGTCGACTAGAGAGGTGTTACTTCTCGTCTAAGCCAAAGGACGACTTCAGCCTCGAGCCTATTCTACTGACAACGTGTCAACATCTCATTTAATGCTTGACAGACGCCATCATGCCTCTAGCCCCGATAGTCTTCATAACTCATCGGACCGCGTCAACACCTCCATGCCTCCAATCGCTTCTCATTTAATGAGAAAGTGATCTCTCCCTCAGTCACCAACCGACACCTGTAAAATATGTGTTGACGCAGTCGCCAGCCCACACTTCTTCACTGCCATCCTGTACTCGACCGAATGACGATTCTACGCTTTTAGCACCACTATAAATAGAGGTACTATTCTAACATAGAACTTCTTCCAGATTCCGACTTCTAGAGGCTCCAGATTCTGATTTTCAGATCTAATCTTTTAAGCAATATCTGCAAATTATACTGCACTATATAAAAAAAAACTCTCGTAGTTCTTCATTTCCCCACTTAAGTTCACCAGCTGATTTGATCATCAGAGGAACCACGGGGGAACCAGTCCTCATCCTCTTATGAGTTTCTACTTGTGCAGGCTTCAACTACCCAACTCAAAATCGGATATTCGGGGAAGGGAGCGGCCCCTCGTCAACCTCATCTAACCATTTTAATTGACTGTGTGATCACTTAACATCAACAGGGGATTTATTTAAAAAAATGTTAGCACTAGGTCATTATTATAAGAAAAATCTTCAATTACAATAACTACACAATAATAATTAATTAATACATTTCTTTTTAAGTAATATTATTATATATTTTTGTTTATTAACACATAATTTTATTATTTAAAAAAATTCAAAACTTAGAACATGTATGATCAATAAAATATAGGAGCTATTGTGCGCGCCTCAACTCCAATTATTACTAGTTATAAATACAACAACAACTGCAGTTATAGTTGCTTGTTTCTGTTTCAAAAATTTTCATACTTACAAATTAATATATTGTGTTTGGTATTTATTTCTAGGTATATTTTGGACTTCTATTACAGACTATTAGATTTAGTTGCTTATGTATCCAAATTATATAACAAAACAAAATACTCGATTGTCACTTGGCATATTCTTAACAGTTGACTTTTGAACTCGTGTATAATCGCAACTCTGCCCGCAAGCAAAATTCCGACGAGAGAGAGAGAGAGCATAGTTTTAAAGGAGAAGATTGTGACACTTGATAACGAGAAGCGCATTAAGGAGTTATTGGTGTTCCAAGGGGGGCTTTTGGACTTCGGTTACAAATCACATTCGGACCGTTTGGAATTCTAGGAGAAGAACCCGAGCAATACTACGATCGATCAAGTTAATTCTCCAGTACGAGTTCGAGGATGAGAACGAGGCTAAAGCTTCACTTGTCTTCTTTGGTCAGCGGGCTGCTCTTATCGAAGAAATCGCAAAATACCATCTGCAAGAGGAGAAGGCTAATGATGTCAAGTGCTAAATTTGTTTATGTCTTCATTTTTCTTGTTCAATAATGAATTACCCTCAGCTGTGGCTACCAGTATCTTTACATCAAGTAATATAGTTGGGAACTCTTCAACTTCATCTTATCGGGCCATCTTGGCATAAGATACTATGTTTATTTGTGCTCATGTTATTCAGCTTCTGCATCAAAGTCGTGGTAAAAGATTCCCACGGAAATTCTTGAAACAGTGCTGTTCTTAGTAATCAGGTTGGGAGTAGACAGCACAGACTCAATACATATCCTAATTCATAACCATTACAGTTACAGTTACACGTATTTCATTTTCCCCTTGATTATTTGCTTCATGCCTCTGCCCACCATCACTATAAACTTCTAGTTCATTACTGCCAAATTCTTACGCATGCATCAATCCTTCGATCATCAAATTCAAACACCTGGGTTACTGCATGTACACACAATCATGTTATTCAAATCTCTCCAGACGAATGACAAACATACTTTGCAATACATTTAAGTTCAAGAACCGAGTTTATGAGTTTTTACAGGGAATACACATATGATGCGCGTGCATCGAGCTCAAAAACTGGTGTTCATATACAAGTACAGTGTGTATAGTACTAAACCAACCAACAGCCAATAATCCTAAAGTAACTACTTTCCCCACTTCTCTGCGTGCTATAAGAATAAAAGGGACTCAAACAGCTTCACATAAAGCACTATCTGAACTCAAGATTCTGGTGTTGTTTCTGACAAGAAGGGTGCTAGTTTCTTTACATTTGGACCGTCTTGAAATCTTCTTCTCAGCATTCTTCCAGATTTTTGAAGAAAGAGACTTCAATACACCCCTAAAGTATTTTGCAACTTCTGCCACAATTTGTCTGCGCATGAATTTTTTTGAGGGCTCATCACTGAAAGGAGGGAGATGATGAAAATAGCAAATAACCACATGATATAGCAAAACAAACCACATGACACTGCTTCAAAACAATTGGAAAGGGAAGGAGCTAGACTTTTTGGATAATATTTTATTTAGATTTTCTCTGAAGGTACGCAAACTCTACAAGGACAAAGTATTTTGCTAAACTTTAAGGGTTTAATTGTGGACAGATTCCGTGTAGTATCGTCGTTTTAAACTTACAACCCCTGTACTTTTATTTTTGCAAATAGACTCCTACAGTGATTCTTTTTTGGACTCCTTTACCCTCAAGGGGTCCATTTGTCAAAAAAGAATTTTCTTTTACTTTGAGGGTAAAAGGTCAAGAAGTCGGTAAAAGGGTCTATCGGCAGAAGTAAAACTAAGAGGGATAGTAAGTCCAAAACGACGATAGTACAGGGGGTTTATCTGCAGTTAACCCTTAATTAAACGGTAGCAAAATAAGGAAATTTTGATGACAAAAGGTTGAATACTTGAAATTGTGGAGAGGTAGGATCTATGAATGAAACTACTCGTCTGAAAGGAATTAGGTCGTGCTTCACATACTAATCAACGTCTTTCAAGTCATTAAATGCAAGTAAAGGACCAAATGCAAGAAGTCGATCATCCAAAAGGTAAATATGATCAGAGTCATCAGACAACACCAATTTAGTTCTTAACATTTATAGCATGCAATTTGGGGTAGGTATTGGCATTCAAAAGGGAAAACTACTTCATGACCAATAGCAAACCAAACGAAGTTACAACTGCTCATATTGGTTATTAGGTGAGCTGTAATAATACAGATAAAATTCAGTCTTCTTTTTGTTCACTTCTTTTCCTCGTGTATTCCCCTTCTCTCATCTACATTTTGTTATTCTCCTGTTCTGCAAGAAATCTCACTTTTTTTTTAAAGTATCCAAGCTTCCATGCATCTGGACACAGGACTAATGACTCAAGTCAGACACAGGACTAATGACTAGTCTCTAGTCAATAAAAATATAATCATTTATATGTACAACATCTTGAAATAGATGACAGCACAAGTAGCGAAACAAATTGCCTTCTTTCACAAACTAGTGTTATGCTTAATAACATATCCAATGATAATAAGATTCAAATTGTTCAATTATTCTCAACTAACGGGGTCGTTGATAATGTCTATGAAAGAAAACCAGTAAACAGAAAAGCTGGATCATCAAGATTACCGAAGGTTATTCAAACAAATTAACATTGTGATGGTAAGACATGTCCAATGCTAGACCTTTTACTTTTCGGCCATCTCATGCATTCGTCATAAAATAAACTAACCTTTAATCATGAAAAACAAAGGCTAAAATGTTGTTCCTTGTTTCTTCCCTAGTTTTCTCTTATTTTGTATTTCATCAAGCTCTACAAGTGACTTAAGATGAACGAAAGAGATGGTCTTGGAACTTGGATCATGGAATCTCTCCACTACAAAACTTGATATTAGAAAATGCAATTAACTATAACCCTGAGAACAAAATAACATCAGTCTTTCAAAGTGAACCACTTAGAAACTTTGTCCGCACTTGGTATACATAGGACCTTCTTTGATCTTATGATTGTTAAAAAAAATTGTGACAGTTGAAGTATATAAAGTCAAACACGCTCTTATCATTCAGAGCATGTGCTTAGAAAAAGCATGTAACCATGGTGAGCCTCAACTGGTATCTAAGGTCTTCTTTCATTTTATTGATTGCTAACAGAAATATTTTAGTTGAAGAAAGTATACAATTCATACATACTTTAACATATCAAGAGAACATGGTAAAAACATAATCAAAATCATATAAAAATTTGCACTCAAAGCAAAGAACAGTTGCTTACAGTGGAGAGCAGGGAGATCGGCCACCATTTACATAGTAAACAAACAAGAATGAATCATAATGCTGCCCATCTATATAGTAAAACTTTTGTAACCTCCTTACAAGCTTAAAGAGCATCTTCTTGTAAAAATGGATGGCCGGATTGTTATAGGCAATGACATGCAAGTAAACTGCTTTGCAACTTGTAATACTTGAAGCATATTTTATGACCTCTCGTATAAGTGAACTAGCTGCAGAACGCAAAATTAGACAAAAAATAGGCAATAAAGTGGAAAATTGAGTATTCAGTGAAGGAGCAATATGCAAGAATATAGCCAACCTATTCCAAGATTTCGATAGTGTTCAACCACACCAAGTGTCAAGATATACACAAGAGTTGGATCTTTCCACGAAATATCATACCTAAGCAAGTTATCAATCTGTTGAAACATTTACAAGTGCAGATGTTAGCTACTTTAGATTTTTTATTTATATGACAATTTGAACTGATTTCTAAGTTACCTCACTATCTTTTGCTGCAACAATACGCGTAGTGACAAATCCAATAAGTTCGTCACTTTGTCCATCAGGCTGGCCAACAGCAACAGCAGCCCATGAGGTAATACCACGGCCATTGACAACATTGAGAAAGAATTCTCTCTCATACCTGAAACAAATATTCAGAAGAGTTAATTTTTATGAAACAGTTATAGTTGGTAATTGTGATGATTCAGAATAAATATAGACCCACAAAATTCCATCATAAAAATGAAAGGGAAAATTGCGGATGGACCCCCTCTAATATTACTCAGTCGAACTTACAACCCATCTAGTTTTATTGTTACTAATAGACCACTTGAGTGAAATTCTTTCTGACTTTTTACCCACAGGGAGTCTTATTCAGCAAAAATCAATTTTCTCTTTCTTTGAGGGTAAAAGAGTACAAAATTTTCACTCAGGAGGTGTTCCTGCAACCATAACCGGAGTGGAACTAAGTTCAAATCAGCAATACCAGAGGGTTTTCCGCAATACACCCTAAATACTTATCCAATATGTGATTGCATCACCTTACAGGAAATAGGGCAGCATGTATCTTCACAAGAGGTTCAAGATCAGATGGCCCCATTGGCCTATAAATAATAGTTGGAAAATGTATACTTCTTGTGTCTAACATGGGAAGAAGCACTACTAATCCCTTGAAAACAGATATGTTTGAAAAGAAGATGCATATACAATGATTGTCCCATCTATGCCGCATTTACTTCATCAGAATTTCCACCATTATATGTATTATATTGTATCCGTTTGACCTCCGTTCGATCACTGCAATATTAAGTGAAATATCCAATAAGTTCATGCAATAATTGGTCATGTCCAAAAAATAAAAACTCGAATACTTTTCATATGTTTCTAAAGTCATGACTTGGTAACTGAACATAAATAGTTAATTTTTTCTACTTGCCTATGAAAACTCCTGGAAGTTAATAGAATAATGATCAAGCAACAAATGAGAAACTGAAGATGTAGGGTAACTCTTAAATATTAAGAACATCATTAACTCACTGGTCAAAACCCAACAACTGATACTTTTGGGTAAAAAGGTTAACATGATAGCAAAGCACCAAATCTGAAGAGGTCCTAGATTAAAACCTCATCACCTTATTTAAATTTAAATAGTCCCATGTGAGGAGGAGAAAATGCTACAGCTATTGCATTAAATTAGTTTACTCTGAATCGTTAGCCCACCAGCCATTATCTTGAACTTATGGACTATCTCACAGTTTCAGTTTGAAAAGAAACCACTTTGGTCAATATAGTCATGATTCTCAACAAACTATAGAAATTACATGAACTCGCTTTCTATCAGAGGAGATGGGGAGGTGCGCTTCTCATAGAATTCTGCTGCGGTATGTGGACATTTCCTGAAATTACTGGAATGACTTAATAACTACTCCCCTTCCATAATTATTGATTTGTCTCCTTCTAATTACCACCCTCCAGTCAAATACCCCTATGTTTTGAAATATTAATCATTACCTTTCTGCAGTATCCAGTTAAGTAATATGTTTCTACTACTTTCATTCAAAATCTGAATTTATTAGATTATATTTTAATATATGAACCTAAAAGTAGACTGATGTTGCAATATTTTTCTCACAAATTCTTGAAGGAAAAAAAATGTTCGCAATTATTTCTCATCCTGAAATCAAATACAACTGCTTTGGGGGAAATCAACTGCTTCTATAACCAAAAAAAAGTAAAAAAGGAAGAGGAACAAGGATCTCAGCTTTCTATATACTCAAGCGCTCTTCTGCCTCTTGGTTAATCCATATGTTTGATTACATAAGGTGCTTTGTCCACTTAGCCTTGAATTCAATTAATCACTATCTTTTTTTTTTCTCCTTCCATTTTATCTATTACGACTATCTGCTCTTGGTTTTATGTGTGCCTCAAAGTTAAAGCAAAATTGTTTAGAGAA